AGTCCTTAGTAACTGAAAATATACATTTTTTGAGCCTTTAATCAACGTTTTTCAGAAAAATAAACACAGAAATGAGTTCTTTAATTGGCATGAAAGGTGTTGAGCCGTAAAACAAAAATTTGATAAAAATTCACAAACCTGCGGAAAAATGCAAGTTTCTTCACTTTGATTATTTTGACGAGAGCCTGATTCCACCACGCTGCCTCACATTTGTAAAAAATTCTACCAGACTATAATATAACAGCGAGAGCGTACAGCCAGAGATCAGATGGACACAGAGGAAGAGGCAGCCCCAGGAAAAGATGGATAGAAGTAGGCGCGATACGTCAACTGGGCAAGACCGGCGGAGCTGGTAACTTTTAGTCAGCTATAGTGGACAAGAGATTGGCTGCTGATAATAGTTCTTATCATTAAACCCAAATTAATATAATTGTGAGGCGAGCTGACAAAATGAGTTACTTCTCGCAACCTATGAGTGCAGACGTCAGCCGAAAATAGACCCATGCAATTTGTAGATTTTTAATAGATTCCATTTTTTCTTCAAGTTAAAAACATGTCTTTTATCATTTCAGATAATACATTTTACAAATCCAGCCTATATGATTCATGTATCTATCTGTGTCTATAGGCCTAAAATCCAAGACTTCACTCATTTTGTCAGCACACCTCACATATGCTCAAAGAGCCAATAATGGCCTGCCGATGTGTTGTCGCACCACAGACTCTTGTTCCTAAATCTCAGTTTATCTCGTTGGCTCACAACATTGTTGTGCTGTCACGATGCACGCTTTCGTATCGCGCGCTCAGCGTTTTAAAAAATTTAATTTAATTTTTTTAAATAGTAGAGGGTTTTACGGCGCTCGCAACAGCATAATGTCATATGAGCGCCAAGGGGTGGGTGTCAACAGAGAAGTCTTTACAGGGAATCAGACTTAGACTGCTCACCCCTCTAGCCTCAACAGCACAAGGTCTGCTTCGACTATCAAGGCACACCGGAAATAGCAGGTCACAAGAGAGTGACAAACATACGAAAGAAGTAGAGGAAAATGACAATAGTATGGATCAGGAAAGAAAAAGCAGCAGTTCCCTGTTGTAGATCAGGCACAGTTATGAGCGTGACATGAATCAGCCCATTTACAATTCTAATATGCTTGGACGAGAAATGTCCCCCCTTTGGGAATGGCCTAAAGACACAGGGGGGGGGGGGGGGGGGGAGGCGCTCAGCGGTGACGTCACCCAACTCTGCGAATTGAACGATTGCCTCCAGAGGGATAGAGCTCGCAAGAAGATCACATTTCTTGCTAATTTGGCTCTTCTGTTGCTTACAACGGACGAGACTGTCTTTAACGGTACATCTTATAATTGGCCACTTTTAAGGACACGCGGGCTAACCCAGATTTCGGGGGTTTCCAGAAATCTTGACCTACACCAAAAGTGTGTATTGACCTACCTGTACGAATAGTTTGGTTTCATTGGTGTGTATATTTGTTTGATCATAGAGAAAACTCTTCTTGACTTTTAAAGAAACTGAACAATGGACAAAAACTTTTCCTTCGATTTTCTCAAAACATCATGTTTCAGGATAGCCCTCTTGTGCTTAAAAGCGACCAATATCAGCAGTAATATTCATCTTTAAATCAATATGAATGATAGCGGTCAGTTTCACAAACCACGAGCCGCCACTGTATAGCCTAGAAGGGTCTTGGAAATAGCAGACACAAACACTACAACATGCAATTGACGATACAACAAACAAGAGAAAGACATTATTTTGCTTTTCACTTCCACGTTGTAAGGTAAGGAAACAGAGGTCAGAAAGAGTAAAGAGGATAGTAGTTATGTCAGTCTAAGAGTGTATGTATATGTACGTTCAGGCACGTGTATTTTGTGTTAAGATGAAAGTATTGAAAGTATTGTAAATCATCGAAAGCCGTACAGTACCGTACAGGGGTGGGCGCTATACCTATAGAAATGATCTTTTTGTTCTCGTTGTTGTTGTTGTTGTTTTTGTTGTTGTTGTTGCTGTTGTTGTTGTTGTTGTTGTTGTTGTTGTTTTTGTAGTTGCTGTCGTCGTTGTCGTCTTTGTCATCATCATCATCATCATCATCATCATCATCATCATCATCATCATCATCATCATCATCATCATCATCATCATCATCATCATCATCATCCTGCACTTCTCCTCCCCTGATGCAGGATATGGCACCCTTTCATGTACATTATAAACACGCTAGACGAGGACTTCTCCAGTCTGGAAATGGCGCCGTCCCTTGAGCTGTCGTCTGCTGGTGACGTCAAGCACGAATTTGGCGCCATTGTGATGACGTCATGTAACTATGACCTGACTTACTTCCCCTTTGACGAGCAGACGTGTGCGATCGTGATAGGACTAAAGGGGGAGGGGGTGACACTCAGGACACAGGTACAGGATAGTGTATGTGTGTGTGTGTGTGTGTGTGTGTGTGTGTTTGTGTGTGTGTGTGTGTGTGTGTGTGTG